ATTCATCCAGTCCAGCATTTAGCATGATGTATTCTGCATATAAGTTAAATAAGCCGGGGAACAATAGACAGCCTTGTCGTACTCCTTTCCCAGTTTTGAACCAATCAGTGTTTACATATCCATTTCTAACTGTTGCTTCCTGTCCCGCATATAGATTTCTCAGGAGATAGATAAGGTGATCAGGCACTCCCATTTCTTTAAGAACTTGCCATAGTTTGTTGTGGTCCACACAGTCAAAGGCTTTTGTGTAGTCAATGAAGCAGATGTTTTTCTGGAACTCTCTGGTTTTCTCCATAATCCAGTGCATGTTAGCAATTTGGTCTCTAGTTCCTCTGCCCCTTCAAAATCCATCTGGTACACAACACTAACAATGATCAAAGCTGGGTGAAAGAAGCAGGAGAAATGCGAGCAAATGCCCCTGTGCAATTTTCATTGACATTTATTCTCTCGATAGTTAAAATTAAATATATCCAAAAGATGAATAAAAATGTTCAATAAAAAGATATTTTTAAAAAATGAAATTCCAGCCCATACATGTAGTAAAGATCCCCGGATGCTTCCACTTTGGGAGTAGAAAGAGCAATGCTGTGGGAGGCAGGAGCCATGCCACCTTGAGATGGGGTGCCCCTCCAAACTCTTGCCTGGCGCTACAAGTTTCCAACAATAGAATCCCTATTTCCGGAATCCAGAGACATCTGGAGAAGAGGTGTAATATGTAAAAGAAAGAAAGCACAGCTCTACAAACACAAAATTCTGCCGGTAGGTTTGTGAGCCAGCCAGGCTTGTCCGTGAGTCCCTTTGAGACTTCACTGGGCTGCCAACATGGGTTCGTTTCCACGTGTGCGAAACCAGCTGTCTCAGGGCGAGTAACGAACGTTACGCCATCAAAAACGACGGAAGAGAGTAACGCGGGATAATAACTACAACCTGCTGGGCCGTCAGAGCCAGCACTGGCCTAGAGAGGCGGGGGCGCGGGCAAGCCTGCAGAGGGTTAATGCCGGATTCCCTCCGGCTTCTTTCGCCGCCGCTCGCTTGCGCCGCTTGCAACCTGGCCCGCCTCTCGAGCGGTCCCGCATTACATCATCGGCTCCCGCGCCCATTCGCTGAAGGCCGGCCTCTTCTTCCCGGAGCCGAGCCGAGGAGCAGCACCTCCCCGGGTCCTCAAGGAGCCTCTCTCGTTGCGGGCGCGCCTGCTTGTGCCTTGCCAGGCGGGAGGAGGAGGAGGAGGGCCAGGGGAATTCGCGGGGGTGGGGCGGGGAGGAGGTGGCGGCACCGGGGCCGGTTGCTTTCCTCCGGCCTCTTCGGGGTCCTTGATGCGCCTTGGCCCCGGCTGCTGGGCGGCCAGGAAGGGAGGAAGAGGATGGCGGAGAGCGAATGCGAGACCCCCAGCACTCCCGGGGAGTTTGAGAGCAAATACTTCGAGTACAATGGGGTGCGCCTGCCCCCTTTCTGCAGGGGGAAGATGGAAGAGATCGCCAATTTCCCAGTGAGGGACAATGATGTCTGGATTGTTACCTACCCCAAATCAGGTACCAGATTCATCCCTGAGCTTTGAAGGCAAAGAGCCGAGAAAGGAAGGGGATTCGCCTCTTTCCCCGTCTTGTTTTAAGGAATGGGCTGTTTTGCGTCCCAGTTTAATTCCCCCTTTCCCCCATCTGAAAAAAGAAGTTCAGTAAATTACTATTTCGGCTTTGCCCCCCCCCTCGGGTTTATTCTGCTGGACAGCTGGGGCTGCCGAATGGCATGGATTCTGCCAGGTAGCGCTTCTAGCTGAGCCATTTGCCTAACGCAGAAATGTGGAAAGCGAATCGCGATTCTGAGACCTTTCCCTATGCTCCTGATCCCCAAAAGAGGCAGCGGTTCTCTCCAGTCCTGCACATGCATGCGGCAAAACGGTCGTGAGGCATAGCTGTCCGCAGGCGGTGAATTTTGGCATCTCTCAAGTGTTCCGGGATGGATGTCTTTTGAGGGAGTCAACCGCAGTGTTTTATGCTGAACCAGAATCAGAAATGGATGTCTGTGGCCTGCTTTCTTTATGCAGCATGATCCTCAATTTTTAATTTTTTTATTTTATTTTTTTACTCAGATGCTAATGCTGTTGAGTGACATGGGATTTACCTTTGAGCCAGAAGTAGCCTGAAGGAAAACAATCTCCCAGTAACACCTATCCATGATGATAGAAGATGGTGTTCTGGGGAGCCCTAAACAATTTGGTGTTATTTTTTTATGATCCAAAAATCTACTGCCCAAGATGGGTCACTATGCCAGAGAGCAATGCTTGTGTGTATACAGAGAACACCAATATTTAGGGCACTAGGTCTAGAAGCTTCTGCACTGCTAACTTGCTCACAGATCTTTCTCTGCTGGACTTAACTGCACATTTTCAGACTAAAAAAAATGTCCAGAGCTGTACAGAAGTCTGAGGACAACTGGTTATTCTGCCAGTCTAAAAGCTCTCAGGCCTGTTTTACTCAGTTTGATGGAGGTGACAGTGGGGATAATGTCTAGTCTCCCAAAAGATATTGACTGCTTGCAAAGATCTGTTTGTTGCTTTTATTTATTGAGCATGCCCTTAGGACATAAGTGGCTCCATTCATAATTAGCTTGCAGAATCAACAACCACCAGCAGTGGTGACCTTCACAGTTGGGAGATGGCATTAAAACAAAATTATATGTGATAGCTAAATGAAATGGCTGAATATCATAAGCGGAAAGAGGATTAAAAGGTGGTGGAGGTGGGTAGAATATGATCGGCCATCTTCTGTTTCTGACCATCAGGAGGCATCAGTTTAGCTGCTTTTTGAAACAAGGTCAGATTGAATATACCTAGCATTGTTCTGTTTGTATGTTCACTGTCTTTGCATGGGAGATAGACAGACCTCATAAATGTGAATTTGTCTATATTATTCTGAGGAAGAGACACTATTGACTGTTTTCTCCTTTATCTTTGGCTAATGCCAGCTGCTGTTATTAGTAATGTAAGATTGGTGGGCCAGTGTTTTTCTTACATATAGGAAATCGGATCTTGATGGGCAAAATTGTGTTTAGAAACCTGCACAAATGGAAATATTTTTTTAAATTAATGTGATTTAAAGTAGTCTTATGACTTCATCTCTGAAGTTTCAGGCTATGACCCTTTTCTAGTTGCATGCCGGTAAACGTGCATAATGCGTGGCTTCTCCAGATTAGGTGCATATCAAAAGTACAGCTCAATAAAGTAACCTTTTTGGACTAACAACCCTCAATCCAATTGCACATCTGCTCTCATGTCTGTTCGGTATGTGGACTGCTATTGAGTGTGGAGGTCTCTTTTACTGAATCAGGGTGTTGTTTCTTCATTTTTCATTGTTAAATTTTGAATTTGTATTTTTGTAATCTGCATGTGTGTAGGGGATGGCAAGAATAAACATTCACATCCTGGGCGTCAGAGGACTAAAGTGTATGGGAATAGGTGAATTCAATTCAGGCGATTTTCATATCTACTATTGTGGGCCAGAATCCCATAAAAGAAATGGAGTAGCCCTCATAGTCAACAAAAGAGTGGGAAAAGCTTTACTGGGATACAATCTCAAAAACGATAGAATGATTTCAATATGAATCCAAGGCAGACCTTTCAACAT